CATAACGCATAACATGTAATGCATAAGAAATTCAATCAATCAGAATTCTTTATTTCATGGAAAGAAAGGAAACGGAGAGCTTTGATTGGTACATTTTCTTATGCATTACGTGTTATGTGTTATGCAAGAGTCTGTGCTCCCCGCTTCACTCTATCCATGGGCGCGTTCAAGTTGACAAAGTGGCTAGCCTGCTCGCCGAGCAAATGAACGTAATTGGTTGTTACTTATAGATTCAACCAATCATATTTAATCGCTCGGTAAGCATGCCTAGCCGCTTTGCCGTCTTGAACTCGCCCCATGATTCATGGTGCAGCTAGTATACTAGGGAATTTCGAGTATGTTATTTCTCTCTGCTTGATTCCCTTTGATAGAAGCAGAGAGAAGTCTGTAACTACGACAGACTGGGCGAGTTCAAGACTGCAAAGCGGCTAGGCATGCTTATCGAGCGATTGAATATGATTGGTTGGATCTATAAGTAATAACCAATTACGTTCATTTGCTCGGTGAGCAGGCTAGCCGCTTTGTCAACTTGAACGCGCCCAATGTTTTTGCACGTGTGTTGCACGTTGTTAGTTGTTTTGAGTGAATTTGAGAACCGCGCGGTCTCGCTTTATAATTTTTTATATATCAGTTGCGTACTCTCAGCATTGTGATACGACTTTTACTCCTGATCTATTCAATAAATTGATACAAATGTCTTACTTTAATTGAAAACTAATTTGATTAAAAACTGAGTTAATTTTTTTGGGTAATGAAAGATGAGTAAAGCTAACCTTAAGGAAGCGTAAGTAATATTTTATTCGGATGCGTCATAAGTACATACAATAAATTATTTTTTAAGCTTCTCTTTTTGACAATTGTGAGATAATTACTCCCATGTTATACTTACAGATTTGAGGTGGAGTGCAAGCATGGAGCTTTTTATACTGGCGGCAATATACAAGTAGGTTTTTATAGATTAAAGAATTTATTTGTTATTTTGATTCTACAATGGGAGTTGGTAGTTATAATTTAAAGCTAATTCTGCAAAGAGTCAGTGGTTGGAAATCTTAATTCTTTAATCCTATTTATAATCTGTCCTTTTATTGCAGTGGAGTGCAGATGCAGAATACTTATTTTGTCAGAAAGGAGGCACTGTGTCCATACTGTCTATGAATAAAGGCTCTGTGATATCCTCATTGTGCGTAACAGAGGCTGATCAACTAGAGGATACAATCAATTGTTTTGCACTTTGTAATGAAGATACAGGCATAATCACTCATCACAAGAGTGGACTGTTCAAATTATGGGATTGGAAAGGTAATTGATTGAATTCTAATTTTTTATTGTTTTCTATATTCTTATCTGCAATACTTTTATATATTCTTTTTTTATTTATGCTTGTTATAGCTAATAAGTTAATGAAATTATGGAAATCAATTCACAAAGGACCTGTAATGCAAATAACTCTTTCGAATAATAGTGTTTTAATGGCATCTGGTGGAAGTGATGGATCTGTCAGATTATGGAATTTACAACATCATGCATGTACACATAATTTCAAAGGAATACAGGGAGTAGTCAGGTAATTATATATATATAGTATTCCAGTAAACAAGAATGAATTGAAATGGATTGAAATTAATTCAGATTTTCAGAAATATATTCATAATAGTACATTTAAAAAAATATACATATCTCTGATAAAACAACATCTTTTACTTTAATAATTGGCCGTACTATATTATTATTTTACTTTATATTGATTGGAAGTAATGTTATAAGATTGTCAGTATATGTATTCGAATCTTTTGAATTCAAAATTTTCGAATAGTTTGGATTATAAGTGATTATAAGTGAAGAAAGATCATAGTGATTTAATTGATTTTACTTGATTTAGTCTGTATTTAAGTAGTTCGTACATTTCTATTTGTATTTGTCTTAAAATAGATTATTATAGTTTAAAATATTGCTCTGAGTTATTATTGATATCTTTATTTTCATTTAGCGTGTTGGAATTTTATTCCAACAGTGAAAAATCACTTCTCTTTGGAGCTGGTGATAACACAAAAATTTATGGTTGGGATATTACTACTGGACAGGAAAAAGTTATTCTCTCTGGACATTTTAGTAAAGTAACATCTCTTAGTTTTCACGAAAATGGAAATTATTTAGTTAGGTAATAAAGAAATTATGAAATATAAAATACACTATAAGTATATAAATATAAAATACAGTATAGATAAATAGAATGTGAATGTAATATAATACGTATGTGCACAGTTCGGGAAGAGACAGAGTACTGATCTTGTGGGATATATCCACTGGGACATCAATACGTGTTTTACCAGTATACGAAGGAATTGAGGAAACTTTTATGATATCTGCGAAATGTCTTCCAGTATTTATTACATTACGTAAAAGCGATGGTATATATGTTGCTTCGGCTGGCGAAAAAGGTACAGTAATAACCATAATATGATTTATGCTCTACACGAAAGTAGTATAATTTAACTCTTAATGCACACGATGGTTTTTGTGACTTTTACTATACATTTCTAATGTGCATTTAGGATTAATATGAATGTTCTCTAGGTGTCGTTAAAATCTGGGAGATGAAAACGGGCAAGCAAATTTATGTGCAAGATGATCCTTTAGTACCACCAGCTAAGGAAGAAGGAGGCTTATCAATTACGCACTTACTTTACAATAGCATCTCTAATATTTTTGCAGTAGTATCTGTTGATCACAACATAATTATTCATTCAATGGAGTTATTCGAATGCAAAAAACAGGTTTGATATATTTTATATAAAAGTCTATAAAATTATATAGATACTAATTTTAAATTATAAAAGTTGGTAGGCTACAGCGATGAAATTCTAGATGTTGCGTATCTTGGAGATAATGACAGTCATATCGCACTCGCGACTAATAGTTGTGATATAAAACTTTATGAAATTGCCTCTATGAA